GAAACAGCCTTCGAGTCCTGACGGTAGTGATATTCTCTCTATCCTTTTGAGGGAATCGTGGAACGGAAAGGATGGTTCGAGTGCAAAATTATCCAGTCAGCAGTTGTTGGACAATGTTGGTCAATCACTGCTTGCTCCATATCATATTCTAACCCCGTCTTACAGATTACAACTGTCGTGTAAGAATTCATCTTGGTCTGTGATACTCACAACGCCAACATACACTCATTTTCAGAATGGCCGGTTTCGAAGCCTCTTCAGGAAATGTAATGTTCACGCTGCTGGACCTAGCAAGGAATATAAAAGTCCAGACAAAACTTCGAGAAGAGCTGGCAGGTATCGAACTCAACTCAAAGAGCATCGAAAATCTCCCTTACCTTGATGCTGTTGCACGCGAAAGGTCCGTCCTCCTTTACCAACCTTTCCAGTGATTAACGCGGACATTTGCAGCCTCCGCTTACATCCTTCCTCTGCAGAAACTTGTCGCACAGCGAAGTGCGATGATACTATCCCTTTGCACCATCCTGTCACACTTCAAAATGGCAAGATTATTACTGCCCTTCCTGTCAAGGCCGGTGACGTACGTTTGTCAACTTAAACGATTTCGAGGTCTTGATGGAATTTATTTTTTGCAGCAATTCACGATTCCGTATACACTCTTGAACACCAATACGGCGATATGGGGTTCTAACGCTCACGAATTTACCCCTGAGCGATGGATGATACCGGATGGGGTGCCACCCCCAAAGGATCTTCCGCATGGACCTTGGACTAATGTCTCCAGCTTTGGTGATGGCCCTCACACATGCATCGGATGGCGTTTAGGTGTGTTAGATTTTCTCCCGTCTTCTGAAATCGATCTTACCATTTTGTCAGCTGTGATGCAGATTAAGATTGTTCTCGCTATTTTGATCAGGAGATTCGAGTTCAAAGATTCGGGTGTCAAAGTCTATAAGATGTTGTCGCCTTCGCTTCAGCCATTCGTCAATGGCGAGGCTGCAACGCTTCCGTTACACATTTCTCTCGTTCATCCACATATGGAGTAAATCGTCTTCATTTTGTATACAAAGCGATGTTGCCGCCGTGTTCGAGCAAGTCCTTCCAGGAATAACGTCAAACAATGAAAGAAAATCTTCAATGGTGTCGGTTACTATCCTTTCCATCCTCGTGCTGCTCATAGAAGATTTAGTCAATACCAAAGCGCAACCCCCCCAGCTTTGACTGTCACGGCAGATGGCGGAGAACACTGACATTCTACTTCCCCGGTTCTATGCCTGCGGCACATACTACATCGCAAGAGTTGTGTATCTGACATCTGTTCCGTCTGTCTTTTTTAGGGCATAGCAGTACGGTTAGCATCTACGCTAATCCCATTGGTCCTTTCCTTCAGTGACGGCCATGTGCACCATTCTTTCTGTGGGCATTGCTCTTCTCGCCGCTACTTTCCTTCAACGATTTTTTCAAAGCCGTTCGGTAGTTTCTAGACTTCCAGTCGCTGTGAGTCAACGGTTTCACTGGAAATATGCGCATACAAGCTGATCTAACTTCCCTTCTATCTCAGCCCGCTGAAGAGGCAAGTATACTGTGGGGACATGAATACAAGGTCACCAAGGGTGAGGTCAACGCAGAATATTTGCGGTGGGCAGCTCGGTTGGGACAAGCATTCAGGATCAAGACTGCGCTCTTTCAAAGGGATCGCGTACGTACACTCCAGCTCATTACATAGGTCACCCAAGTTTACTAATTATTAAAACGTGCGTACTATAGGCAATCGTCGGAGACAACCTGGTTGCCCAGCATATTTTTTTAGGTGTGTAGTACTCGAACCAATGTTTCTCACCCAAGATCTCACCAGCCGTCATTTAGAACGCACATACCTATTGTATGCGTATCTTTTAAGCTTTAGGTGTCTTCGTCGTTGCTCACATGCTAAACGGCAGTAAAGTCTCAAGCCCTCGAGCCAATAGTGGTCAAATATGTCGGTCGAGGTGTCGCTTGGGCAGAAGGTGAAGAACATAAGTTCCAGCGCAGGCTCCTAGTACCTGCCTTCACGCAAGTTGTTGTCACTTCTACTACGATTTCTTATGCAATTCCATCATGCAGGCTTTTCGCCGTCAAAGGAATGGCTGACGATGTGTTACAATGCGCCGAAAAGATTTTGATTTCGCTCTTCTTTCCGAGGTGGACGAAGTATTGAATGTGATTTGGAAAGTGTGTTTCTAGATTGGCAAGCGAACTTGAAGCCCAAGAAGGTGTCAATGCGGTCAATCTAAGTTTATACATACCAGCGTGCTCGTACGTCCCCTAGTTTGACTACTCAGCACTTAACTCATTTCCCTAGGCTTGAGACCATATGTCGAGCTGGTTTTGGACGTGACTTTGGCTATGAAAATTCAGACGTACAGGTTATCCTTGGATCATGACGTGAAGATATTCAAAAATTCACCACATTCCCCGCCTTCCTGGCGCTTAGATTGATCGGCATGTTTCCCTGGATCTCAAAGCTCCCGATCGCGGCTTTCCAAGAGGATGGACCCGCAAAGAAAGTTCTCCAACGAGTTGCCGCAGACTTGTTGAAGCAGCCCTCGAATCCAGATGGACAAGACATCTTCTCTATCCTTGTGAGGGAATCGTGGGGGGCAGAGCAAATCTAGGAGTGAAGCTATCAGCTAACCAACAGCTGATTGACAATGTTAGCCGATTTCTGCTTTCCTTTTCTTCGTGTTCCAATACCTTATACAGATCACAACTCTTCTGTAACAGCTCATCATGCCTTGCAAGTTGCTATTGTTGACATGCCTTTAAGAATGGCCGGTTTCGAAACTTCATCGGGTGTTGTAACGTTCGCTCTGCTTGACCTAGAATACGGAGGCGCAGAGCAGGCTTCGAGAAGAACTCGTTGGGCTGAACTGGACTGGAAGATCATTGAGAACCTGCCGTACCTTGATGCCGTTACGCGCGAAAGGTCCGCTAATAGGTCCAGATATCGAGTCGTTACAGTTGACACTGACTCTCACCGTTGTAGTCTTCGCTTGCACCCCTCATCCGCGGAAACGCATCGTATAACCATTTGCGACAATACTATCCCTTTACGCTGGCCCGTCACACTACAAACCGGTGAGATTACCACCGCTCTTCCCGTAAGAGCCGGCGATGTATGTGTCCCCTTATAAGCCCCCATTGATTTTATTGACTGAAACCCGCTTCACTGTAGGAATTCACTATTCCCTATACGCTTTTGAATACTAGTCCCGCATTATGGGGCCCCAACGCCTTAGAATTTGTGCCAGAACGGTGGATAACACCTAATGGCATACCACCGTCGACAGACCTCCCACACTGACCGTGGAGCAACATGTCTACCTTTGCTGATGGTCCTCGTATGTGCATCGGATGGCGTTTGGGTGCGTTGTCCTTCCTCGCGTATCTTGTATACGTCGCTTGATATTTCGTTAGGTGTGAAGCAGGTCAAGACCCTCCCCGCCGTTATGGTTAGGACATTTGAATTTAAAGATATGGGTGCCAAAGTTCATAGGATGTTAGCTCCTACACTTCAACCATTTGTCCATGGTGAAGCCGCGATGCTTCCTGTACACATTTCTCTGGCCCATTCGAGTAGGAAATAATTCGACAGTTGTCATTTTCTCACAGGGTGGGCAAGTCCTTTTCACGACAAGTATGCATTCAATATCCGACCTAATATGGTAACATGGCCGAGTGGTCCGAGGCGCTGGAAGTGCCGTCATACGTCATCCTCGATTAACTCGCTCCCTGGTGTATCCGCCCCTCCTCAGCAGTTTGAAACTATTTCCTACATCATGGAGCTCACGAGAGTCTGAGCATCAGCGGCGAAATACTCACATCGGGTACACCTAGTAGAATGTTCGCATCGGAGGCGTATTCTACCATTTCTTGCCTCAAACTCGGACTCCCTCCACAAATGATCAATGGCATCGTGAAGACCCTCACCTCTCCCTCTCTCCTTCCTAATCTCTGCCATCTCATTCTGCAGGAATGCTGAAATTGGTTGATTTACAGCTCATGCAGGACAAGTATAAGTATTACCTGGAAGAGGATGTTCGAGCTGTTTGTGGGGGCGACTTTGAGATACGGTTTGAGCAGTGGAACCCACCATGTAAGGACCATCTCTACCTGTTGAAACTCTCTTGAATTCAGGGCGATGGCTTCTCCCTCCTGTGAGATACTGGCCTTTGTCGATGTGTGTGCTTCCACTGACCGTTTGCTTTCAGTGTGTAAATGTACACAATGCGATTGGATTGATATCAATGTCAGTATCATTAAGGGCACCGTGCATCGCAGGCAGCTCGTATTCATTCTAAAGTACAATAATTCAAGATTTCAGCATATGAAGTCATCCAGGAACTCATTTGCGAAAGCTATGATCAGACTCATCATTGTCGCGATGATTGCTATAACTTCAGACCACAGCAGCATGTCCGCCATCTCCACAATACTCCAGCGACATTTATAACTATGTGCAACTATTTTTGCCACGTCAAGATCCCGGGTATGTCTGCGAGTGAGGTATGTTTGTCCAGCGAGCAGGCGCTGTGCCACCAACAAAAAGGTAAAGTGGGCATTTTTGTTGAGATCCACTGGGAAAAGGACCCGGGTCACAACGAGGAGTGGTCCAAAGCTTTTTGAGAGCGAGAGTTCAACCCTTCCCAAGATGTTATCAAAGTACTGTATAGTGGTTGGGAGCCTAGTGCCTCTCAACTCTTGAATGTTGAGACTTGAGTTTGAGCTCTGAGTTCACTCATAGTTCAGGTATGTAATGGAGGATGCTACCCATGAGAGTTGTTCTTGGCTGTGCCTGAGTTGTGCATTCTGCCGGTTCTCATATTTTTGGTTCTGTTTATGGCGATGGATGGAGGGAATACAGCAAGGGACTGTTAATGCATTTGCATTCTTGGCCACAATGAGGGACAGTTGTTGTCGTTATCAGAAGGGTCTCTAATGTAGCATACCAGGGAAAATATGGTGACGTGGCCGAGTGGTCCAAGGCGCTGGAATTAGGTTCATGCTTACGCAATCCAGTCCTCCGGGGCGTGAGTTCGAACCTCACCGTTATCAATTTATTTTTCACTCTTTGTAGTGTAGAATTTGAACTTTGAACTTTGCGAGTCTGCGACAGCTAGAAATTGGATGGCGTCTGAATTTTGAAGTAGTTCAAACATCACACTTCACACTGAGGCTGTGCATAGGCAGTAATGCACCATGAGAGTGGATGTGACGATAATAATTTATTCATTGTAACCGTTTATTGCAGATTTGTCGCCCCGCCCCGAATTTTTAAAATTCATCATATATACATTTGGCTAATTCAGTTGTAAATAGCACTTATATATAGACATACAGTCTAACTTGACATATGCATATAATAGCATCTGTTCTGCCCAAGTATCTGTCACAGGAGGTTGACATGAGGTAAATAAATCCCTTCGGCGAAGGCTTTAAGAAGGTAAGTTACCGAGAACCGAAGGTTTCGCGCGCGACCCCAGTTCGCGTTTTAAAGCAAGGTGAGGTCCGTATGATACTATTTATTTCTTCTAAACCTGCAGTTGTGTTCGCATAATGAATATCGTGCCCTTTCTTACCAATAGGTGACGCGCAGTAGCATTTTCGTGCGCAGTACGTATTTGGCGTACCAGATAGGTACAGGTGGTCGGTGAGCTAGCTCTCAGTGTACTATTAATCCAAACATCGTGAATGCGAGATGCCTGTCGGGAATGTTATATCACTGAAATACTGTCGAAACGATGTATTTGATTGACGGATGTGTAGATTAACGATTATGCCTAGGGTTTGTATGTCGCTGATACTGCAGATTCATGATCCGTCTCATTGGACGGTTTTGAGTCCTCATGCTGAGTTTCGACATCATCGTTGTGCGTGTTGATGACTGTCTCGAGCCTGATCTCCAAATTGGAAGAAACCGCTGCCCCACGAGGGTTCGTGACATCAGTGGAATCTTGCCATCGTATGGCGCTGCTGACTACTGCGCTCGTACTAGTGTCACCGTGAGCTTGACCGTGACTGACGCGAATAATGATCATGGAAAACTAAAAAATATGTTAATTGAGGTTGATGCTGAGTCAAGAACACGTACAACGATGCCGATAACAGCAGATTGCATGTCAAAAAGCACATAGTAAACGAAACTCCCTAAACCCAGGGTGATAATAAGGCAAATGAGTAGGACGGTGTACACAGCAGCTAATAGAGCAGCTGTTAATACGACATGGAGGCACTGTTTTCGACTGACCAGACTCTACAATGAGCGCTATAACACTAGCCAATGGATCGGCGCCTAGTCGTGTCCCAGACACATTGCGACGTACGATCCAAATACGATAGGAAATCAGAGCTGTTCAGCGGGACAGGCTTTGGAAACGGCACGATCTGTCGACTGGGGATACTTACCGGTGCACACAACGTTGACAACCAGTGTCATAGCACCGAAGGCTCTGTTGGCATTGAGCTGCCGGTGAAGCATTGTTGTGGATCTTGCCAGGATGATTAGCACGTAAATGCCAGTTCCTGCCAATGCCGTTTGAAAGGATACATCACGACAAACGGTACTCCTTACCGGCATCCGCAGCGAAGAGCAACAAAGGAACAAAAATTATAATACACTTGTTCATCCAAACGATGAACGTGCGATAGATCTATTCCGTGAGTATCAGCCTTCAAAAAAAACGTTGATCTTACAAGGAAGGCATCAGCTACAAGGATGGTCAGAACCCATGCCGAATTTTCAACGAGGCTCCAGCTCGACCAAAGCGGGTGTAAATTGATTGTACCATCCGGTTTTTGATGTGTTACACCATACAGAGTGCGGACAATAGTTGTCATGCAGCGCTGAAACATCTCTATTTAGTCGTTGACAGAAGCCTACTGGAAAGGAACAAACCATATTTATGAGAAGAAACAGAGTAATATGAGTGCCCAAGAGGTACATATGCAGTTGTCTTGTTCTGTAGCGGTGATACATAACAAGGCTGCAATGGTAAGCCATCACTATGTACGCGCCTGTAGAAGATGTTCAGCGCAGAACGCCAGGGTGAGAAAAACCAAGCATACCATACAGAAACGTTGAAATATAGGCTCCAACGAAGGCCGATTCGGTGGCTTTAGCCATCATTCATCTAATAGCAACATATACCAGAACGAGCGTCTCGTGAGTCTTTGAATGCCCATTATGCCTATGTCTCAGCTCAGAGAAAATTCCGCGGAAGCGTAAACACGATATTCGTTAAGGAATTTAACCCAATGTCCCACAAGAGTACAAGCCTGAGGACCAAAGATGAAAGGCAATGTGCGTGGGAGAAACTATTTGCGAACCTCAAAGCGGTTCGCCACCGCAATACACCACCCCGCCATTTTCCCTTGAGAAATAGTGCCCAACAAAAGAAGACAGCGTGCACCCACTGTCATCTTTTAGCTATATCACATCCTTCTTCTATTATGTTACAATTGTTATTTACATGAACAGTCCGAAAAGATAATAAGTTAGCTACGCAAACAACAAGTCATATCCTCTCGTACATGCATATGTACGCCTTGGCCTTGAGCACTTCTTCCAAGGTCGTCAATCGAACAATCGTATCACTAATGTAGGCCCACTGTCTATGCGGTTTTTGAGGGTTTGAATTGGCAGAAGTGGGAGTCTTCAGACTATCCTCCCCAGGACTCGAAGTTGGAAGGGCAGTATAAGCGACGTAATGGCCCCCCAGCTGTATTCGCCATTCAGTATTTCGTTTTCCGGGCGCAGATATAACTCACCATGCTACCAATGTGCACCACCACCGCATACAGGCGATATAAACATCTCTCTACCTCTTTTGCGTGTGGCTTGCTCCCTCGATCAAGGAAATCCTCCCTCTTGGGTGCAAGAAAAGGCGTCAGATCCAAGATCTCGGGAAACGATACATAATCATCCAATTTCTTGAAGCCATTTGAAAAGGATATCATTGTCGTCTTAGAGATCTGCTGGAAGCGTTTCAGATGGACAACGAGGACAGGCGGAGGTGTCGCGATGAGGTACCGCTTGTATGCGGGGCGCATGATGACGGGTTTTGGTTTTTTCTTAACGGCGGCCTTCGGGGCAGACCCTGACTCTCCAGACGTAGCTTCGCTATCACCGCCATCGGAACTATCATCGGAAGCATCCAGACTTCGCCGACCATGATATTGGCGGTACGTAGGCGCGGGCAGAAGAGAATCGTATGAGGCATATATGTCCGCCTGGGGTATATCGTTGGAGGGGGTATTGTCACTGCCATTAGGAAAGGATGGATCATTCGGGCTATCGTCCGAGTCTGACGGGACTGACAAAGTATCGTCAGGTCCCGGTGGCTCTGTCGTGGCTATTGACGGAATTGGCAGTCCACCAGGGGTATGAATACCATTGATACTAGCAAGGGTTAGTGGGGACGGAGTATGTTTTAGACCCACGACAGACTCCGACGCAATCGTAGTAGGCAATGATACGATAGATTCCGCAGTATCGCTGAAGTCTGAATGAGAGTATAGTGGGATATTCGGACTTGATAGAGACGTTGGAAGATCACTCGTAGACGTCTCTGAGGACGGTGTCCCTGGTCTGGGCTCTTGTAGCGGTGGCGATTCACGATTGTTAAGGCTGTCGGAGTCGCCATCCCCTTCCTCGCGCTTTGAACTGGGGTTGTACAGCCCATTGGCAATCTTCCAACATCGTCTGCAGCCGACCATATTCTCCCCATCAAGGATTTCTACCGCAGTGAACATTTTTAAACAGTCTTCAATGCCTAGTAGTTGACCTAATTTCAACCACATATGCTGGGACGTATGACTGGAATGGTGATGGGAACTCGATGACGATCCATTGAGATGATTGAGGAGAGCAAAGGGGTTAGGCGGAGATTGGTACGTGACGTCCGCTAGAATCTTTCGCAGATACGCTTGCTCGGCTCGAGATGGCTTGGGAGGCTTGGGAGATTTACTTCGACTGATGTTGACAAATCGAGGGATGGATGTCGTACTGGACGTCTTGGAGGATGGTGTTGCGATGACATGGAGGGGAGAGAGCGCACGGATACGTGGCGATTCTCGCGCGTCTGGGTTGGTAAGACGAACGAAAGATGCTTCAGAAAAGCTCGGCCTCCCTTCAGAAGACGATACGTCCTCACTGGCCGACGCAGAGGGTGTACCCGGACGTGAAAAGTCGTGACTGGAGCGTCTCTCTCTCGACCGACTCTTACGTTCTTTGGCGGCTTTGGTTAACCCGACACTGACACTAAATCGGCGGCCCAGCTTGACCCATCCGTCATCCTTGCCTTTATCCTTCCTCTCCGGTTTCGGTAGATCTGCAAATTCAAGTCGCTTCTCACCCTCGGAAACCGTCGGATCTTTCACTGTTTCATCGTCTACATGTGGCTCCGCAGGTGGTTCCGCTAGGGCATCCATACTTCTACGCCGAGGATCGTCAGCTATGGGAGGCTCGCTATGCTCCGGTTCCCTTGGACTTGGCGGTGCTGACGACGAGCGGTGCCCTGATGGTTTGTCCACACCGAGGTTAGACGCCGCAGGGAATACAGGAGTCAGCCGTTTCGCTAGGTTCCGTAGCCGATCGCGTTTACGCTCCTTTGCGTAGTCTTCTGGTTTGATACTGAGGCTGAGATCATTGAAGTCCTCGTATGTCTGTGATACGTGCTTGCATTTCTGACAAACTAAAATGCTCGTAAGCTTGCCCCCGAAAATCATGTCAGGAAGAGACATTAGCTTGTCGTCATCATCATGTTTATGGTTGGAGGGGGTCAGCGTCCGCCTGCGGCGTCTCTTAGCCCGCTCGGGCGGCGGTGGCGGCTGCCGTTTCTTTATAGCCTATATTCCATTTAGAAAAGTGTAAATGGAAAGGCGCATACATACATCGAGCTCCTCCATTCGCATAGCATCGAGCAGAATTCGCATAAATTCATGCGCGTCTTGCTGCGCAAAATCAAGGTATTGGTCGTATTTCCGGCCGAGCACGCTGAGAAGTGCCCTTCGCAATTCACAGGCATCAACTTCCAGTCAGCAACATTAGTAAAACG